AACTTCTGATCTCGGGCAGAGAGACATTTAGCCCACAGAGCCACTCACTGCACCCTTGTAGAAATATCTGTCTACTAGCACATGCTGACTGGTCTTTTGTTGTTACTCGAAGTTGTCCGTATGATGGCTGCAGCAGGATTAATTCTGAAATATATGTCCATAGCTTCCTCACTCTTGTCCAAACCAAAACTGAGCAGAATCCCTCAGAAAGAAGCTGGCTCATGTAGCCTCCTGTTTGGAATCGCAGGATGAATTTTGCTTAAAGTGAAAAACCACATTCTATGTGGCTGTTAAGAACTGGCAGCACATCCTCAATGGACTTTAGAAGAGGTCGTTGATTTGAAGCCAAGCAATAACTTTTAGTCCTAATAATTCTGTTGACCGAAAACATGTAGGCCGAACCCCAAAAATGTTATTTGTTCATGTAGAGAAATATTCGGAAATAAAAGTTAACATGGTATACTTTGAGTTGCATCTATATTTCAATGCATTTCAGTCGTACACAACAAAAACCACAAGGCTGATCCTTTTACTCTACCACTAATTTACTTTGCAAACGGTATCATGTGAATGCTATCGGGGTATATAATTACCCATGTAAAAATGAGCAGCATTCCACACGCATCTTAAACCAACTCGGAGATCTTGTATAACAAGCATTACAAAAAACCCTGGGGCTGTTGTAAAATTTCCAGTATACCATAACCCCCCTCCCTCCAAAAAAAAAGAAAACTCAGGCTTCTGATAAATATATTAAATGCTGAAACTGGAGTATGCCTAGAGCAGCTATAAAATTTTAAATAACCATAAAAAATTTACAATATACATATTTCTCAACCACCTCAGAACTATGCAATTTATTTATTTTTATTTTTTTACATATATACAGTATATATATATTTGACCATAGAGACATACTGGAAAAATTTCCCAGATATTTTATATCTTATTTTTATATGGCATTGGAGAGTGTTTAATTGCATGTATCTGTTTGAGTACTGAATGACAGCATTTTGTCCCCTAATCTCTGCTGCTCATAATAGCCTGTGTTTATTTTTAGAAGTCTCAGCATTCGTACCGAAATACCCAGATGCCATTGCAGTTATAATATTGGCGGGGTGGGTATGTTCTATCTGGGGCCCCACTCAAAAAGTTACTTCCAGCCCCCCCCCCCCCCCCCCACCGGTTTACTGACAGTTTGGGGCCACATCTCGGGGGCCCCATGCAAATGTTTGTGTATAACGGTAAACACCGCTGCTGAATACTGGTGTTTGAACATGGACAAAGAAAATCCAAGCTATGACACACATACATGTGTCTTGGGAGCTGACGTTAAGTGACGATGTTTTGTGTGGCTTATAAGTTTGGCTTGTCTTGTTCTCACAGTAAAACGCATTATGCCAGGTGCCGGTGCTGTTTGATTTAGTTTTTCCCAAGTGACCCGGTCTGATTTTTCTTATTTTTGTACTGTGTGCCTGCAATCAGAGGGTCACCAGTTCAAACCCAGCCTCAGCACGTCTGTGGGTCCTTGAGCAAGGCCCTTAACCCCCAGCTCCCTGGGCGCCCCAACAAGGCCCTTAAACCCCAGCTCCCTGGGCGCCCCAACAAGGCCCTTAATCCCCAGCTCCCTGGGTGCCCCAACAAGGCCCTTAACCCCCAGCTCCCTGGGTGCCCCAACAGGTGGCTGCCCTTCACAGACAGCTTACTCTACGAAGAGCAAGTTGAGGGAGGCGTAAAGACAATTTCAGGGATCAATAAAGTATCAATTATGGACCTTTCTTGTTGAGTTGGTCCCTGTGTTATTGTGATCCCAACTCCACTTTGTCCAACACCTGTGTCACATGGTTCTGCCTGTCTGATATTCTTTTCACACAAAGGTTAATAGATTTCTGCATGATAAAGTGCTTCGTCGATCTTAAAGAGCACAGATAAATGTTACACCATTTTGTTGAAAAATGCCTATTTTTAATTTTCCTACCTGCCTTTTTTGCACTACAATACATTTTATTTTTATAGGGTTATGGGCAAGAACATGATTTCAGCAGCATAAGATTATGGGCATTCATTCGTTTGCCAAATATTACCTCAAATGTATATCCAGTATTATCCCAGGATAGCCAGTTCTGTTTTATGTCATAAACATGAGTACATGCGTGTTTTTGTAATTATTACATTGTGGGGACCAGATTTCTACATAAAGTGATAGAAACCTTTACCTTGTGGGGACATCTTTTTCAGTCCCCACAAGGAATACCTCAGTTATATAAAAATCTGTGATCTGGGCGGTCACGATCATGAAATTTTAATTGACGATTGTCATACAAATAATTGCGATTAACGATTTAACTGTCTTTTTCGGTTCATTTTATAACACTGTTAACCTAGTTTAATAATACATATACACCATATGAAGAATTGAATATTGGATACTGGAACATATAAATTAAAATTGCATTTAGCTTTTAAGCTTTGTAGACAAAATTGTACAGGGCAGAAATGACATTTAAAAAATAAGTTGAACGTCTCAAGATAGAGTTAGTGTTGTCACTAGCCGACCCGTACCACCTACACGATTTCACATCTCACATCTGCACTGCCCGATCCGTTCATCCTGCCATTTTACAACAAACTATATATTCTACATTTACAGCAAACTGAGCTAGATAACTTATTGGAATTAAGGTAGTCTGGGCTAATATATAAATGAATGAAGATAAAGTCCATTTAAATTGGGGTACCTTAAATCTAACAAGTTATCCGGCTAAGCAAGAAATCCGGCTTTGTGAAACGTGATACAGACCCCTGCTTTTAATGATTCTGCTGAGTTAAAAAAACAATCCATTTTCTCTGCTTGTCATTTGAAGTGTCCACTCAGGTTGTCTATTTCCAGTTTTGAATCAAAACTATTACCTTAACATTCCATATCTGCGATGTTAGTTTATATTCCCGTCAGTGGACATTGCTGCTATCCAGTGACATGGTCTTCTGGGATCTTTATAGCTTTGGTTCAGATATGAAGATTGGCATATTTTGTGTTTGTTTGCGCCATATTCGTTTCACTCCAAATGATCCGAAAAAAAGGACAAAACATGTATTTCTCTGGTTCTTTGTCCTATTGACATAATATACTGACTTTGCTGCAGCAAAAAAGTGGCAGCAGTCAGGAACAGGGACACATACAGTCATCCCACCATAACCAGACCCATAAACACGTACTCAGACACACGTGCAGGTGCTATGCACAGCCTTTATGAAACAGACAGAGAACACAAACAATGCTAAATATCTGGCTGAATATCCTATTCTGGGCAGGTGAAGATCGCTCACAAGCAGCCCATAACCGGATCGCCCTGGGTCATGAAAGTGTTCTGAAACAAGGTGATACAAATTGGGTACCGTCGTAAAATTTGGCGTGAAGTGTAACACTACGCAGCAGTATGCGCCGACGCGGAGGTACAAATGGGGCAGATGGTACGGATCAGTGCAGAAGTGGGACAAGATGTCGAACATCTCAAAGTAGAAAACGATGTGGAAATAGTGATAGATATATGACAGTTCTGTCACTATATTTATACAGATGAATGGAGACTATTGTATCGATCATGCAAAGTAATCGTGGTCAGCTAACATAATCTCAGTCAGGCAACTATGTATTAATTGTGATAGGCCTATCTGTGACTGCAATCAAAAAGCTAAAAGTTCTAAATGTCTTGTATTTTGTTTGATTACTTATGGTTAAGGTTATGGCTGGGTAGGGATTAAGATCGTCATGTTGGGATTAGGGTTATGGTCATAGAAATGAATAGAGAATCCCCATAAAGATATGGATATGTGGGCAGTGTGTGAGTGTGTGTGTGTGTGTGTGTGTGTGTGTGTGTGTGTGGCCCAGGTATACCTTACCTTGTGGGGACTAAATGTCCCCACAATGTGATGAATGCCTGTTTTTTTTTACCTTATGGGGACCAGTTTCCAATTTCCATACAATGATTCTAATCGTTTAATCTGATCAGAACACATGGAGGTGCAGGGTGTGTGGTCCAGGGGTGCGGCCCTAGCACCCTTGTGGGCCTGAGCATAGACAGGGGTGTAGTAGTGATGGCTGGCCAGCCGCAGAGAGCCGTCTTCGGGGGGAGTAACTCGACTATCAACTCCTGTCTTCCTCTCGCTTCTGCTACTCATGGCTTGTCTTTGAAGTGTTTTCTTATGGCCCTATGGGGGCCCTTTTTATTAGTCGCCAGTTGAGGCCATCCACGGCTGCCTTGCTGTGACACCAAGCCCCCCCCCCCATCGGGACACCCCAGTACCCAATGCTGTTACAGGCATATCGTTCTCTAGACGAAATTACCCCAAGTGAATGGCGAACCTACACCTGTGATTTTCTCGAGTAACCACTCTTTTTCAATGCGTGAGTGAAAAACCAATATATAATTTTATTTGTTTTCCTTTCGTTCATTTGGAAAACAAATGGCCTAAAGAAGCATCGACTTCATTTGCACTCCTGACAGAATCAATGTGCTTTTGATACTTGTGTCCTGTAAAATTAAACTGCAGATTGTGAAAACAAGAAATTTCCTAACAATATCCAAGCATATTCTGGTGAGAGATGCTTTTCATGTTTAGCTTGATGGGTGTTGGTTGCATTACAAATGACACAAAAGCTAAACAAAAATAAAAAAATAAAGTAGCGAGGACTCTGTTTCCTCTGCTCCATTGTCTTCCTTACCAAGCTCGTTCCACACATATGCTTGATATTTTATTACAGGGATTTCTGTTGTTCATTTCAGTGAAATGATGTTTTAATGTTGATGCTAAATCTTCATACACTGACACACACACACATATGACAACACAGGTGGTTCTGCCAAGCTCTATTAAAGTCCCCGAGCTAATGATCCAGCGCTGACTTGTCAAATCCTGTCACTACTCAACTCAAGTAACATTCTGTAACCGACTGACACATAATGATGACTATTTTTAATGAGAGGATGTTACTTTCTTAGGATCGGAAGCTCAGAATGGAATAGAAGACAGAGAGAACTCAGAAAAAGGCATGAAGCAGAACAACAGATCTCACACAGGCAAGCAAATCAGTCAACACCTTAAGAAGCTAAAGAAATCTGGCCTAGGTGAGTATTTTACTAACCCAAGGAGTTGTTTCTTGCTAGGTGAGTATTTTACTAACCCAAGGAGTTGTTTCTTGCTAGGTGAGTATTTTACTAACCCAAGCAGCTGTTTCTTGGCTTTCTTGGTTGTTCTTTCAGATCGGCGTACTTTTATTTTTGCTAAATCTGGAGCCATTCACGATAAGTATCTTGCTCACCTTACAGTAGGTACACATTAGTAGCACTGCAGTGTCTCATCTGTGTTTATGCCAAACTCAGTCTGGTAGTGTTTCTACAAACTAAATTCCAACATCAAAGTCATACAACAACAAATATAAAACAACAAACCAAAATACAGATGGTGCAGTTTAATTCTGGGGAAAAAAAAACAGATACAAAGCAAGACATTTTTTGCTTATTTAAAAATCACTTTTTTACACCACTTTACCATATTTAATCGCTTTTTAATTAAATTGGTCAAATACATAATTAAAGAATTTGTGAATAAATTGATTTTTATGTACACTTATTATTAAATATTTTCTAGTAAGAATAATGGCCTAATGTTGCATTTCTGTACTGGTTGAAAAAATGATAATAATTATTATCCAGGCACATAGCAGATTGTTTCACTTCAATATAGGTGAGTGGATAGATTCTTTGTCTTTGGCTGAAAGGCAATGAAGGAACCAAACTTTGCATGAGCTTGAATGAATATTAAGAGACACACTGAATAAATATTGAAGTCCCAGTGTTGAGCCTCTAAGAGTTACAACAATGTGCGTCACACTGATAATATACAAATGTACACTATGGTATAGGAGGACTTAAAGGCTTTGAGGCACTGAAAAGCATGGATAGCTTATTCAGAAAAGCCTTGCCCACCATTTCTATCGCTGTAATGATTCTTCAGTGAAGTGGTGCTCAATACTCTTAATGTAACAGTGGGCTAGGGTCTCAGGTTTACCGCGCGTAGATGATGAATGGTTGTAGCTTGAATTGACTGCATGACATAACAGATGTATCTGAGAGACAGCGAGGTTAAATCATTAAGGTGCATCTCAGCTCTTGGCTGTGACAGAAGGGCATGCGGCAGATGTATGGCAAATCAGTCAAACTCTTCCCTCGGAAAAATGCATATAGGAAGCAGAACACACCCGCCTGGTATTATTGTGGTTAATGACATGACATAAGATCCAGGCTGTCAGTATAAGTGCCCCCAAGAGTCTTGCTCTACTACCCTGTTTGGAAATGTCTCTCCCTCTTTTGCTCCAGTTAATTATCCAAATGTATACATCAGTAGTAACAAAAAAAAAAGTCCCATAATTTAATTGTAAGGAAAGTAGAATTTGAGCTTCACGTTTTGCTAGCAGTCGTTCGTTTTTTGATGCGTACGATAATGCATCGACTAACTATCAGCCAGGATATAATTTTGCTTGCTGCAATAGTATGCGTGCTGTATTCCATATATAGACATGCTGTAATCTGTTTTAGCTAGCTACTTAAAGTGGACCCATCCATGAATGAATGATTTTTACTTCATTTTGTTAATCACTTCATTATTTCTAACAAAAAAACAGTGACTTTCTTTGTAAAATGACACACTGAAATGCACTGCGATGGAGTGCCGCCCTGCTCAGGGTATATTCTGTCTTATGCTGATCCCACCACCCCGGATAGAGATCAATATACAGTTATGCATTGGTTAATCAAGACTTCAAGACTTTTTATTGTCATTGTACAGTTGCCTGGACAACGAAATTAGCTAGCAAGACCACAAAGATGCAAGAAAGTGTCAGTACAAGATATAAGAATAATAAACACAGTATATACAATGTATAGGTACAAGAGACATTGGTATACATTCTGAGAAACGCATTGTTAGCCTTTTGTCATTGTGCGAGCGTCACAGTGTAGGCTAAAGCAAACTTTTTATATATATAAGTAGAAAGCGTACGCTAAAATAACGATAAAAGTGCAGTATCGAAAATACCTAAACCAATAACTTAGGATTTTTTTCAGCTCCATTTATACTGTAATATTATATAATACTGTAGTCGTATATGCAGTCCTTCATTGACCAAAACATCTTTATGTGGTACATGACAGTATACAGACTTTTTCACTCTGCCGTCCCTTCAGAATTTTTCCCAAATTTTCTATAAAACTCTGAAGAACTGGCTAACGGAAAATTCACACATGATAATAAATAATATATTAATAAATATATTTGCCCCGTGACCCTGACCAGGATTAGCTGTACCGATGGAAGACATTCGATTTTTCACTGTGCTTTTTTCCATTTACCTTTACAAATGCATTTTCTCAAGAGTATCTTACAAATTCATGACAGAAGCATAATTTGTATCATGCAACATTCAAAAATCGGACGTTAATAAAGAATAGGAAAATCCGTGTATGTTCCTGCATAGCGACAGGATGTGTTCCCGCCAGTCAGCCTTACTCAAACAGTGTATGTTTCCCATGTGTTTTCAGCTATATGCCAGTGGGTGGGTTGGCCTTTTCTTTCGGTTCTGTTCCAGATGGACCTCTGTTTACACTGTGGGCTTTTCAAGGACTTTCCTTCAAGAACGTATCTCAAAGTTCAACCATAAAAATCAATAAACAATACATTACGAGGTCTTAAACACACACCAGCAACCAGGAAAGCCTGAAAAAAAATATCCCTTAGGCCTGAATACAAATTGCATGTCGTGAATGAGACACATGTTCCTCCCCGGGGATTTTTTTGTATGAATCCACCAAAAGCATGACTATTTTTCTGAACTGTGCATATTTGTCCATGTCCAGTTTGTTCCAATATATAAACATGCCTCATTTCATGAATAGTTCAGTTTTTTTCCATAAAAAGTAACCCTGAAGTAAGCAGAAATCATGTTTAATGCAAATATGTTCTGTTTCTAGGGTATCTAAAGTGGACCAAGGCAGAAGATATTGACATTGAGACACCTGGGTCTATATTAGTGAACACTAACTTGAGGGCATTGATCAACAAACACACCTTTGCTTCATTACCTCAGCATTTCCAACAATACCTCTTGCTTTTGCTACCCGATGTTGACAGACAGGTAAGTAAAATATAATCCCAAGGTTTTATTCAGTTTCTCTGTCATGACCCTTCTGTTGTCAGATTCTCAGAAACACAAGTGTTGTTCTGTTTTATTCATATCATAGATTTATTGTGCCCATACCAGTGCCGACTTTCAGAACAAGGTTAATCCAACAGCCTTACATTTAAAATAGCAATTGTTGAATGGAGGGCTGTACATTGCCCATTTTCCCATTATGTCACATATTTATTTCATACATCATACACAAAATTAAAAAGTCAGAAGCCAAGCGGAAAATTTTCTATGACCCGTATGTCCTTTTGTGACGCGGAATGCAGGCAGTTCTGTTTAGGTCATCCTGTTTTTGTTTGTTATCGTCTGGTATGTCGCATTGGCATATTCACATCAGTGCACAGTTGTTGCATTGACAACAGATTTCACTGAGTTGTGCTAGTTGTAATTCCTTAATTAAAACAGCAGTATAATGCAAATTAATTAATTATTACGTGATTGAGCAGACTGAATAATAAATAACTAAGTTGAGGGTGTTCAAGAGTGTAACCCTCGCAGTTGGTAACTGATTACGTGTCATAACACAATGAAGAAGAATTTTAAAAAGTCCAAAGAACGGAAAAAGAATTTGTATCAGTTAGCTGGAGGTCTTACAAGAGTGTCCAGGGAAAATTAACAAAAAAATATCGGGTAAAAACAGACAACAGGGATCTTGTTTAGAGATATTCGATACAGCTCCACCAGATCGTTTCCACTTTGTAAACATGGTATGCACACTGCTAATCAATCATTAGAATACCCAGTGGGAAAAGAGAATCATCGTATTGCTTATCTTTGAAAAGACGTTCTGAGCAATAGACATCTGCAGCAGAGAGCTGGGGTAGGAGCTGATCATTAATAATTTTGGTGATCTGCAGTTGAGTAAGAGCTAATGTGGCCATATGGTGCAGTCTGTTTGGAAAGTTGGTAAGCAGGCAGTTTAATGGTGTTTTAATCATGATAATTTACCAAGATGTAAGCAATATCTGAACAGCCTGTTATGAGCCGGGATTATCTTTAGATTGGCGCAGTTTATGCTTATGTTAAGGGTTCTCTTTCTTTACCTTGTAATTCTTACAGTCTTCTCTGTCTTCACTGTTTTCAGCAAAAGCACTATGAAATGATATTTTTCTCTGTGCCAAAGAACTCTTTAAGAGTTAATCTCATACCAGCTTTGAGATTATTTGCCTAATCGGGTAAACATTTAGGGGCTCCCAATGAATAACGGTTATTAATAGTAGCCAGATTAAATTCTTTTTGAGTGGCAAAAAAAAACAAAATAGAAAACAATATATAGTCCAGCTTGCAAATATGTTTTGAAATCCTCCTAAGGATGACATTAGCTTTAAGGACAGAAGAGCAGAATTGTTTTTGTGCAAAATCCAGCAGAAATTTCCAGATGGTGGGTACGTGAAATGCAGCGCCTGTAAATCTGTAAATGTACAGTGTTCTTCTCGAAGGTTAAACGTAAACTCCCACTGTACATATGAAAAAGCCACAGTCAATGACAAGATTAGGCAGTGAGTAATGGAACGGGTGTGTGGGTTAGCTCAGGATTGGCACTGTACTCCTCGCTCAGTCCATCAGTACGTCAGACCGTTTATGTCACCGAGTGTATGTTTGTATTTCATCTCTGTTGCTTTCAAATTTGAAATGAAACCATGCTTTATTTCTCAGATGGGCAGTGATGGAGTGGCACGTCTCTGTAATTCAGCCCTAAATAATGAGTTCTTCGCCTACGCCGCCCAAGGCTGGAAACAGAGGTTGGCAGAAGGTAGGCTGTAGCTACTATTTATTCAGCAATCTCCTGAACAATAACCATGTTACTCTAACTGCATATATTCTTTCTGCTCATATTTCACAAATAAAATGTACAAGCAGTTATACTATAAAATGGTGTCCTATAGGCAAATGTAATGTACTTGCCTTCAGTTAATTCTAATATAGTATTCTTCCAAATATGATTGCTCCAAGGCACTTACACAGGAGCTACTCAAGAAAATATTCATAGCATCATATGCACAGATATTGTGCAATTTTAAAAGGCACTTACAAATATATTTATGTTTTTTATTTAGCTGACATCTTTTTCCAAGGCAACTTTTAACTTTTAACTGTCCATGGTTTGCGCATTCAAATATCTTTTATGTTTCCAGCTGCAATGTAAAATATCCATATCAAGTACGGTTGTACACAGTGGTGTGTGTTGTGACATTGAGGACTGTTTGGCCTGCTGTACTTAAAAATGATCCCCATTGGTCATTTTAACCTTATAATGAAGATGGGCTATACAGGGCTACTCACAAGTAGATTTATGGGCTATACAGGGCTACTCACAAGTAGATTTATGGGCTATACAGGGCTGCTCACAAGTAGATTAATGGGCTATACAAGGCTACTCACAAGTAGATTTATGGGCTATACAGGGCTACTCACAAGTAGATTTATGGGCTATAGGGCTACTCACAAGTAGATTTATGGGCTATACAGGGCTACTCACAAGTAGATTTATGGGCTATAAAGTGCTACTCACAAGTAGATTTACAGTAGAATTGATAGTTTCAGAATATGTATATTAAAGAATGATACAGTAGTCGTATTCAATACGAAACATTTTATTATAACATTGTTACAGAATTGGAAAAAAAATAATGAAACGGGAGGTAGTTACAAGGCATCTCTCAGCCCTACTCTCATACATCGTTTTGACAATTGTTCTTTGGAGTGATCTGTTGTACAAAGTAACTTAAATGAAGATGTGAGCTAATGAATAGCTGTTATACTGAATTAAGCAGAAGTATAGCTTCTAAACTATTATTTATTATGATATAAGAATACCACTAAAAATCTTAAGAAATATTTTGAGCTCAAGAGATACTACAGCTTCAAAGGCTTTTTTTGTACTTAAATCCTCACCACTAGGCTTATAAAAAGCAGCAATACATTGGTCGTCTTATGAAAAAAAATGTCAATGTAACCATGAAATTAAGGCTTAGAGACATTATTATTACTGCTATATATTATTATTATTAGTATTTATTTTTGGTATTTATGTAATTAGGAAATAAGGTTTAATGTATGGTTACAGGTGAATTTACTCCAGAAATGCAACTACGAATCCGACAGGAAATGGAAAAAGAGAGGAAAACTGAGATATGGAAAGAAAAATATTACGAAACTTACTATGGGCAAAAGTAAGTGTTACACATTTTTCCTCTTCTATTTAATGTTTTTGTACCAGATGTTATTTTATCATGTGGCATTGTGACTTATCTGGCCGGGTGTCCCCCTGCCCTGTGCCCTGCGATGGACTGGCATCCCGTCCAGGGTGTCCCCTGCCCTGTGCCCTGTGATGGACTGGCATCCTATCCAGGGTGTCCCCTGCCCTGTGCCCTGCGATGGACTAGCATCCTATCCAGGGTGTCCCCTGCCCTGTGCCCTGTGATGGACTGGCATCCCATCCAGGGTGTCCCCTGCCCTGTGCCCTGTGATGGACTGGCATCCCATCCAGGGTGTCCCCTGCCCTGTGCCCCTAAGTGAAATAGACTTCAGGCCCCTTTGGAACTCTTCCAGGGAGTTGAAAGATTAATAGATGCTACTTCATGTCATAAAAAGTGAGAATTGAATTGTTGCACCATCATTGCCGATAAAGTGATAAATATTTGACAGTAAAGTAACAGATGTTAAATATTACCTTAAAATGTGAAATTGACTGACTGTCGAAATAGCCACTGCGCTCTACTGTAGCGTGGTGCAGTGTTATTCTATTCGCGGTGCAGTGCTATTCTGTTACTTTTTGTTATTATGTGTACATGCCTATTTTAATTATGCATGAATGTCTTAGCAGATTGCAGTCTATACGATATGACTCCACAGGAGGTGAAGTAAAGGCCCATACTGGCATTGTTTAATTCTGAGTGCCTTTGACTGTGCTTCAAAACCACAGTAGGACCAATATTAATAATAATAAAAGTAGTCTTCATTCAGTTAAATGCAATAAATAAATTAACTGCATGCATCTTCCACTAAACTCTTAGGCCAACAGTCATACATGCTTCTACCTTTTGAAAATTACATAAAAATGAAACTATGATGTATTTTTGTATTGAAATATTTATAACGTTGAAATAAGAAATTACAGTTTACAAGTAATGCTTCAGCATTCAGTGAGAACATTTTCCGAGTCGCCTAATATCTCTCACAGTGGTATTGTTGGTTGCCCATGCTACCTCTCACTTACTCTTTATATGCAGTGCAATCTACTTGCCCTTCTCAATATTATCTGTGTCTACATGGATGCTCTTTTCATTCATTCACTGCTGGGGGCTTCAGGAAAGGTACTAGGCAGTTTCCGGATCGTTCTGGATGTCCTGAAAGCCCCTTCCCTCTTGCTCCAGAGATGCAGTCTCTCTACTGGGTCCCTATTCTTTCCTGTGGCAATCACTAAGTTAGCGCACCCATTCTCGTGTAAAGCATGCCATTCCTCCACCTGTGACATGGACAAAATGTCCCCAAAGGGCCTGCAGTGTTGTTTTTCAATTTGCAGTTTTCTCTTTTCAATGCAGTGTGCAGTGCATGACACCTCTAGAAAGCTAATCATTTTGCAAACTGCACACTGATTGCTTTTCTTAAATAATCATAGATTATTTTTATGTAATTACTAGTTAAATTAAATTACTTGTAATATGAAGCTGTTTTATATGATTTGCACACTAAAGGGCTATATCACTATGTATTAACTTTACAATTACATGCCAGTTGTGAAAGTAACATAAAGAAACGACCTCCCCCCTCCCCCAGTCCAGTTACTGGTTATGGTGGTATGGACTTTGGAACAGTGTGTGGGCATCCCTGTTTTAGGAGAGGGTGAAAAGCCTGATGCTCTAGCTTCACATTGCATGGCAGTTACATTTCTTGTAATTCAAATACAAACCTGATTAGTAATGTAGCTCATTTATACATCTTCTTTTGTCTATAAAGTACCATTATGCAGCTGTTATGGTCCAGTGCATCAGTCATTTCTATTGAAGCTCTTGCAGTTGCATTACACCCAAAATGCTAGCATGGCAGTATAAGGTTTCTTTTACCTGTTGTTCTTGTGGTTTGGGTTTCAGTGAGTTTGTCATAGCAATTAATCACGATGATGAATATTCTGCTTCTGTTCTGAGGTATTCTCAGAATGGTAATACAGTGTTAACGATTGATTTTCTTTGTTTCTCCAGATCAGGCTTGACTGAGAAAGATTCACAGAGTTGTGTACCTGACTGTGATGAAGATCAGGGAAATACTGATGCCGAAGTTCCAGCTTTCATGCAGACGGCTGTAGCAGCTGAGAAAATTGAGCTGAAATTGAGTGACAGTGCATGTGTTTGTGAAGATAAGGACATACCGAGTGGTTTCAATATGGATGTGGCATCAAAACCATTATCTGTATTGCCCACTGTGGATATTGTACTCTCTGGATTCCCTGAGATTTCTGAAGAGGCGGTGATCCAAGAGGAGATAGCAGAAGAAGTGGAACCCAATTCCTGTACATATATCGATTATCCTGATCCTCAGATTCACGATCCTTCTGAACATGTCAGCGCTGACTCTGTTAAGGAGAGTCAAACGATAACCCTTCCACTGAACAACGTGACTGCCCTCCTACAGCAGCCCTCCTTAGAGCCGTCAGCAGAAATAATCAAAGCAATGGGTAACGACCCTGAAACATCAGCCGCGTCTCTACTGTCACTTCCCTCCACTTCAGAAACGGAGACTGATGAAATGTCACCACAAACGGAGGAAGATGCTACATTTGATAAAGTAGGTTCCATACGCACTGGACACAGTGCCCTTGTGGAGACTAACTGTCTGTCATTGTCCAGTGAAACAAAAGTCGAAAAGGACCTCCATAACACAGGGGAACCTGACTTAAAGCATGCTTGTGACAATGAGGACACGACAATGTCTGAGATAGTGGAGAGTGAAGCACAGGTTACATCACAAGCAGCGGATAATGTTCTAAGCAGTGAGCCAAATGTTCTACCTTTAACGTCATTCACAACTCACTTAGAAGAGGATGCAGAACTTGATGCCACAACCGGTGCCGATATTCTTGCTCCACATAAACCAAAAGACTCAACTTCTTATGATAATAAAGTATTACAATCACAGTTGACGTCAGATAACTCGGAAGACACTGATATTGAGTGTTTAAATCCTGACACTGAAGTTGTTTCTGTTCCTGACCCTGTTAATGAAGGTCATGGTGAGGAGACACCGATATTTCAACAACCAGATGAAGAACTCGATGAAACTGAAAGCGAAAACACTCAAGATGAAAGTCTGTCTCCTTTTTCTACGTCCAATGCAACGTCTGCCTCACCATTAGCTAATGACGCAGTACACCTAGACATACATTGCAATGGAAAAGCTGATTGTTCTGACAGTGTATCAGAACATCCCTCTGATGAGTTAGATTCTGAAGCATCACAGAATTTAGATGATATCTGCGAACCTGTGCCACAAGCTAAAGACCCAAAGCAAGAACAGAGCCTTCCTGATACTGTCTTAACCAAACCAGTAAATGAGACAAGATCACAAGAAGAGTTACACGCTGAAAATACACAACTTACGGAGAATACAAAAAGGACAGAAAACACCACCATTGCCTACACCATGAATAAATCACTGCCAGAAATAAATGTCTCCAAGCCAATATCATATGATCAGGTTGCAGACAAGACTGTAAAAATCAGTCCATCGCTAGATATAGTGAAGGTAAAATTGCACAAGTCATATCCAGGGAAGCAGGCACCCAGTACACAGGAAATGTTCCACAGGAAGCCAGGAGAGCTGAGCAAACCATTGCTGCTGGACTGTACAGACAGTACAGACACGGAGAATTCCAAGCGGAAGCCGGGAGAGCTGACCTCAGGGACGTGCAAGGAGAAGAGGGCGAGGATCGAGTGCAGCGAGAGCAGCCACACCTCCTCACCTGCAGGCAGCAGAGAGGAGGCGCCGAAGGAGGAGCCACGAGTGCCTCCTCTCAAGGTTCCGTGCCCTTTATTACGATTTAATTCCCAGAATAGCAGGCCATCATCAAGGCATTTTTCATTTTTCCTTTTAAGGTTTTACTTCATCAATTTTGCTGTATTATTTGTTTACCACTGAATTTTTATTTTGATTTCACCCCGTCGATACACTTTTTTTCCAATAGCACATTTATACAGTGAGAAAATAAGAAACAAAGCGTACCTCGCTGCAGCAGTAGATCTTTTTTTGTCTTATTGAGTGTAAACAGCTTCTTACAATATTGGCTTTATTTATGGCTGAATGCTGCTCCAAGTTGTTTAAATCTCCAGACTGTGCCTGATGTAAATTTTATGTTTTAGTACATCACAGAGAATCCGATAGGTGCTTATGACAACAGCCAAATCCAGAGATAGTAACATTTGCTTTCTGGTGATGCAATTAGGGTCTGCCTGTGGCAAGAACCACCTTGGGTTTGAGGAAATATAACATTTATTAGACAAAAGATAACAAATTAGTACTCGACAGCAAAAATCATATTTACAAAATTCTGATAGTCAAAACTGTACAGTACGTGAGCTATACTAAACAGCAATAGACATATCAACATATCAACAATGGACCACATGTCTTAATTATCTATTGACAGGCATAATTAAAATGGCATAAATAAAATTGTCCGAGTGTATGCATTTCTATAAATCAAATAAAATAATGCAAGTGCTTTTTAAATGTTATATGCAATATTTTGTTTAATTTTCGTATTTAGCATTGTTATGAAAACAATGAGCAGTACATTTATCCGGACATAACCGGCATAACAACAAACCATACATTTGATATCATTTCAATCATCTATTCTAAAGTGGAACTTTGGTTCTCCATGGGTTTGTAAGGGCCTCGCTACCCAGAATGGATGAGCACTTATTTGAAATGGATGGAACAGATGTCTCAAGTGAAATGTGATTAAAATGTATTGATGTATAGCTAATGGAGAATAAATGGATCTCCTGTGACTTGAGTTCACTTTGTGACACTTCTTTACAGAAAAAAATGAAACATCAGTATGAGCAGTTTTTTGACCCGTATAATCTGGAGTCAGTTTAACTAGGACATCTACCTGTGAGGGAAGCTGTATGTGTGGGAGATCATTATGTGTGAAATGTCATAATCTAAAAATACTGAAACTGAAATGACTTACGAGAACTGAAATGGTAATCACACGAGGACACAAATGTAGATTAACTCTTCTTAATTTAATTGAATATTTCTCCCCAAAACTAAGTAGAATGCCTACATGAGAATCTGACAGACTTACTTATTTAAAAGATGCTCTTATCCAGTAATTGAGTAAGAGAGACAGTCCCTTGAGCAGTTGGGGGACAAGAGTCTTGCTTTGATATCACTGTGCTGCCCATGGGATTTGAAACAGCAACCTTCCAGTCACAGGAACAGACAGATAGAGCTAGTATGGTTATAGCTAAGACTACAGTCAACTCCACTACATGACGCCTCCCTCCTTTTTCGATTGACAGAGTTACCTTTTAACTCTTGCTGTGGCACATGTCATGAAACACAACATTATCGCGCGTTACTCAAAACACTTCATACATATAACACAGCAGTATGGTTAAGTTGCCAAAGGGCATATATCACCAAAATCAATTAACTCTTATCTCAAAAACAAATGATTGTATCAATTAATTAGCCAGTGCCACTAAAATGCACGTAGCTTAATCATCATCTAAACTACAGTAAAAATGTTTAGGCATATTGTAAAAGTGTCAGTGTAAATATGCTCCTGAGAGCCACAATTCTGGAAGATCGTTATTTCCCACTGACACTGAATGCCCATTTTTCTTTAGAAAACATTTTTATCCCTGTCAGAAATAACAGTTTCAACATCGCAAGGCTCTACATTGTAGTAACATTCACTGGCAAAAGAAAGCACTTGCATGCACTTGTAACTTATATCTTTATATCTTTACTGAAATGGTCTCAAGATGCAGTATATAGCAAATAAAAAGACACACAGCACAGAATAACACAAAAACAGCAAAAAATGCTGCCAAAATCACATTTTGTGGAAACCAGAAATACATTGATACTGTTTCACTGCAATTCATTAAATGTACTCTTGAATCATTCTGGTTGGTGAACTATAGTTTTGCATGTATAATTTCACTGGGAAACTACATAATCTATTTTCCATTTTGATCAAACAGACTTAACCGATAATTATGCTAAATGAAAGCTAATCAAGATCATTAGCATACAAGTACTAAAACATTTGCAATTTGTGGGAAACATGAAATGATGTAAAGCCATGCGGAAGTGACGTCATGGTTTGGGGGTTACACACATTATTTTGAAAATGTTAATTGTCGTTTGAGAAATGTGCCAAAGCAATCAAGAAAAACGAATACATTACCAACATAAAGAGAGACTTCTAACTTTCAGACAAGTCTAACTTTTTGTAGTGGTGAATAGTCAGATTTTATGTCTAAGACAGCTTTCCTTTGTTACTGCAATCTGTTCTCGTGCTGAATTAAAATCAACAATGTCAGCATTATGAAACTGGAGTTCTCATAAACCGTAACATTATTTTTATCCATCCGTTTCATAAGCACTTATTCTGGTCTGGGGGCTGCGGGCTGGGGGCTGGGGGCTGGGGGCTGGGGGCTGGCTCCTCTTCCAGGCAGTGTAGGGCCCCATGCTATCTCTGCCCCCCCACCATGTCTGCATTGTCCTGTTTGCCCATTCCCAGCTTCTTCTCTGCACCCAGACCAGTATCGCTGCAGATCCTCCTCTTCTAGGGCTTTATTCCACCGTACCTGGCCCTTCCAAACCTGCCATTCTGCAAATTGAAAATTGGACTGTGCTTTCTTGGATTGGGGCTTTTTCCACACCGCTGGGGCTGCCTTCATGGTCCCAGCAAAGCAGATTGCTTATTCCGCGTCTGGCCCTGTGCCTTCAAATAACATCTCCTGCTGCCTCCATGTTCCTCTTCGGCGTGTTTCTTCACTTGGTCTCCGCCGTGGCCTCCATCTTTCTCCGGGCGTTCATAATGGATACCCTACTTATCTACACATTCTCTTGTCCTTTGTCATTGCCCACTCACATCACTCATAGGTCTAAATTTCCCCTGGTCTGCCCTCATACTCTTTGTCTTCCGCTGTCATTCCAATGCCACCGTGCCCTTATTCCGTCTCCCGCCGAGTGCTTACCCCTCTCCTCTGTTTTTACACTCACTTGCTCTGACCTTGTTTTTCATGCTCTCTCGCATTAGTTTACTCCCCATTTGCTTATGACCCTTTCATTTCTCTCAGGTCCCCTGCATTTCCTGAATTTTTTATGAACTTTCTTGTTATACAAAAGTGGTTTATTCCCTGGTTACCTTTGCTGTCTGCACCCTTACAATTACTTGTCTACTGTCATTTATTTGTATATTTGGGGGTCTGTCAAAGGCAGTTTTATGCAAAAAGTGCAGCAGACAGTCAATGTGCCTCTTGGGTTGTTTACATGATTAGACCTGCAAACATTGTTTATTTGTTGATCATGTTGACATCTCAATAACACATCCCATGGCTCTCCCTGCTCAGCCATCCAAAAAAGCCCAACTTGTCTTCACAAACAAAGCCAGCATTGTGCCTTTTGAAAGATACTATTGCATTTAAAGTGATTCCTTTACCTCCTGTGTAATGGCAGCTTTATTTTTCAGTGCAGTCGTCATTACTATTTTGTGCCGTGTTCTGTTATGTGAGTAACATTAGCCTTGTTGTTTTTGGTAATTACATGAAACTGCATGCCGAATCTCACCAATGTACCGTCAAGCGTTATTCTTAAACAATGATGCATTCATATATTAAGAATGTATTAACAAAAGCATCTCTTTGATCTGAAGTGGCTTCCTTTTGTGAAAACCTCTGAGCCTGTACAAGAGAACACCCAATGCTAAAATAACAGTGGTGCTGCTGGTAATACAAAGGGGGTAGGAAAAAGACTGCAAACAGACTGGATCGCACAAAGGGACCACCTCTGAGAAGCAGAGGTCTTTGGGGAAAATGTTACAATATGCAGTTACAAAATTTTAACAAAATGAATCTGCAGTCATTCAAAAAACAATATTATGTGTTATTGTTGTTTTTGCTACTGCTATGTGTTTGTAATTTGTATTTTAATATTCTTCTATGTGTTTGTAATAAGCTTTTCCACAGTCCATATTTTCTGTTTGTCATGTAGAATGGTGCCATTTGGTTTAATGAACTTTAGATAATTACATTTTTATAACCACGGCAATGAGTGTATGAATTAACAGCACAACTGCGTTCAATAGGAAGGAGTGTTTTTCAAATTATTACAAGCATATTAAGCTCTGAATGTGTAATATCGTAATGAAGTTGATTTTCTTTTCCCTCTAGATCCAGCTCTCCAAGGTCGGGTTGCCGTTTATTATCAAGACTCAATCTGTGTCCAAGCCAGAAGCTAAACTTTCTTCTCCAGGGAGGAACCTTGGTGCCAGGACTCTGGCAGATATCAAGGCCAGGGCTCATCAGGCCCGCGCCCAGAGGGAGGCTGCAGCCGCTGCAGCCGTCGCTGCAGCTGCGCATATCACTGCTTCGGAGGGAGGACCCCCTGCTGATGGATGCAAGACGCGCACACTAGCCCACGTCAAAGAGCAGACCAAGGTGAAGCTTTTCCCTAAGCATCATGCCCGGCCTCAGGTTCACCATCACCCTAAGGGCACCAAGCAGTACAATGCAAAGGAGGACCATCATTGCTTAGAGCTGCCATTCAACGTGACCAGGGATTGTGCAGCTGGTGTCATCATCGCCAACCCCAACAGGAGATCTCCCAGTGAATGCCTCACACTCGTTCAACTACCCAGTACCAATTTAAAACCGTCCGAAAGCCAAACTGCCATTCCAGCATCCGTAGTCAGTGTATCGGTGCCAAATTCTGTTCGCTGTTTTCCGGTTCACCAAAATTTGAGTAGCGTATCCCAAGCTAGAATGACAAATACTGAGGATTCAAGAGCAAAAGAAAGTGCTGTTTGTAACAGTCAGGTACCAGTGTCTACTCGTCTTTGTTCCATTCCGCCCGGTCCCTCAGTTCTTGTATCTGTTTGTAGTTCTAGCCTGCAAAGTTCGGTCTTAAAAGTTTCCCCTTCCAGTGCCAAAACCTCAATTCTGAGCTCATCACAACGAGCTGTCTTACCAAAGTATAACCATGAACTTCCATCTGTGATTCCACAATCTTCTGTTTGTCCTTCCACGAATACACAGCCTTGTTCATCTCTTGGTAATGGGAACCAGAGCCACATGGGCCAGATCAGAACCTCCTCAACCTGTGCCACTGTTGCAAGACCTACATCAAATGGGTTCCATTGCTATGTACCAGAAAGTATCATGTCACATGTTCATGAGAAACCAAAAATTAACTACCAAGACCACCATGCCTATCAAGAGAATGGAGATAAGCTTCAACGCTTTCAAGTCACAGCTCATAAAGACAAATCGGTAAATCAAAAGGAGGTAATAACAACCGAAGTAATAAAGACATCTGCAACTCAGAAAGACATATTTAAGTGCAAAGAGTTGCCTCCAGAAGATTCTGTCTCAAACAAAGCTATTCCATGCAAAGTGATTGTAGATCATACTTCTGCTACATATCAGAATTCCCCGAGTATCCCTGTAACCCAGCACAACCCACCAATCAAAGGTGTTAAAACAGAAACTGTTCTCCGCCTACAGGAATCCATTATGAGCAGAGCTGAGTCATTTCGCCAGAGAACAGAGCAAAATGGCACCTTCAGTGCTGCTTCCAGAGGGAACCATAAAACAGTGCATGGCACATATGGTGTCCTGCAGAATATCCCTTTATCTCAACAGGTTAGCCACAGGGAATCAGACCCAGAAGGAGGAGCTGCTAATCTCATATACAGCTCTTTACTCTACAAACATGCCGAAAAAACCTTGGCTATAGACCAAGACATTGAATCAAAGACATGGCCGAAGGGAAACAAGAATATGAGCACATTAGTCATCCAGAAAACTCATCAAGAATGTAACCTTAAACTATACATACGAGAAAGCAAGGATGAGACGACTCCCCACGTTTTCCCCAAATGTGGAATTTCAAAAGCAGAAGTCCGCAACAGTGACACTGGGGACTTTAAGGAGCCATGGAATCCTCGGCAACACCTAGCTCCACGTCATCCGGATGACAGGCAGTGTTCACTGGCTGCGGAGAACTATAGAGTGGTTTCTGCTGGTAGTGCGTCCAGTTGTCGTCAGTCTTCAGTGGAAGCCAGCAATCCGCTGGTGACACAGCTGCTGCAGGGAAACCTGCCTCTAGAGAAGGTGCTGCCTCAGCCTCGACTTGGAGGCCAATTGGAGATACACAGGCTTCCTTCACCTTTCCACACTAACTCTCTGCGTAAACCCATGGTTTCGGAGAGGACTGCCATGGAGAACGCTCAGAGCTGCCTCAGCCACAAGGGAGGGGTTCATAGCCTGGCCATGGTGGGTCAAAGCCTTCTCCAACAGCGAGATGGCAATGCCGGTAATAAGGTGACCACAGCCCTGGCAGAGCTGGACCTTTTCAAACCCGATCCAGGAAAATCAACTGTGGACGGCGATAACAGGAATTCCTCCTGTTCCTTTGGTGCTCATTTACATGCACTGGACGTGGGGCAGAAAATAGCGCAGGAGTGGGGGGGGAGGAATGTGAGGCAGAGGAGCATCACGCCCAGCCTCGAGATCAAAGAATCAAAGAGGCCCCTCTTTACCTGCAGCTTACAGAAACGAGTATCTGGTCTCAATAAAAACGGCAGCTTCTCCTCTGAAAGTGATACCTCCCAAAGGCCATTTTACCCACCAACAACTGCAGGCAGGGACTCCAGCCTCCTAAGTGCTCCAGTGCAAGCCTGCAAAACAAGCCCATTTGTCTGTGCCGATCCAAACAAATTAGTGCTCAATAGGAACCAGGGACAAAACGGTCCGGAGTCAATGACTACAGATCAATTTAAAAAAGGTGCGTACCCGACTAGTCTGCGGAATATGCAGGCTGATTATTTTGAAACTGTCTCACAGAACAAGCCTTTAGCCCATTCAACAAATGCTCTGCCAAAGATCCAGTCAGATCAAAGGCAAGCGGCCGGAGTCATGGAGACGAACAGGAATCTGAACTGGTTAACTTCTGGAAGTGTTTGCAACAGAATTAAAGTGGAGCCAATTTCTTTTGATGAAAATTTAAACAACAGCTGTGAAATTAATAGCAAGCAGGCATGCTATGAACAAAATGACTGGACGAAAAACTCTAAGGTTCCTCCATTCGTTGCCCCTGAGCAACAAAAGGTTTTTACGCAGCAGTCTCCACGACTAGATCCTCATCAACAAGCGTATAGCAACTACTCCTCCATACACTTCAGCAACGGGAAGCTGAACAGAACGGCTTCTGTTATAGAGAGGTCTGTGGGAAATCCCAGACTCCAGGCTACACCTGTGTCTAGTCACAAATTTGCCAACCAGAACAGTGTGGATGAACTGCAGCTTAAATGCTCCTGCAAACTGAAAGCGATGATCGTTTGTAAGGGATGTGGTGCCTTCTGCCATGATGATTGCATAGGGCCGTCGGAGTTGTGTGTTGCTTGCCTCGTTGTTCGATAACTTATATAAAGATTAGATAAGTCTTAATTCCATAATTGTAAATGATCAAGAAACAGTGTCATTTCTACAATAAGTATTGACTATGTTTAAGTTATTTTGATTTTTTTTTTTTTTTTTTTTTTAAAAAAAGCTTATTTGTGTCAACCTCATAGTTACGGAATATTTAACTGTTTACATGAAATGAAAGTAATGTGACTGTTAAGCTATGCCGTGAGGCAAAACCAGTATTTCAATTGCAACTTAGCCTGAAGACATCTGGTGCTGTACACAGAGATAGCCATCAAGTTATGCACCTCAGCTGACGAATAATTGGACCATCTTGATCCATAAAATGTGCCTGTGTATTCAAAAACTCATTCTGGAAATATCAGCATTTAGATGATTCAATATGAGCCGTTATAGCAATTACACTCTGTAACTGAAATAAGAATGTCGTGTTTCACGTTTATGATGAAAAGCACCAATGAAATACATTCCCGTTCTGTTTCTAATGGTTGCTTCCGGAACAGTTATTTAAGGGAAATTTGTCATAGGCTGAATTTAAATCTGCCAATCCTCTTCATTCTTAGGTTATTTAAACTTGCATACAATTACTGTCACTATCGCTGTTATAATTACTATTATTATTATTTTATTATTATTATTAGTGGAATAAAATTTATGCATACTTTGAATCATTCATTTGAATATGTTGTGTAAGACTTTGGCCAAGCCAGACTGTGTAGGGATACCAGATGTATAGATTTAATATGGATGTCATTAAAAAGGTTTTTTTTTTTCATTTCCCCCCAAGTCTGTGTTAATGCTGCCAGTGTTTTCTTGAGGGAAAAAATGTGATGATCACAGTTCACTTATGATACTATTATGATACTTGTTGTTAATTTTTCCTTTTATTTTTATACTTAAAGTTGTCAGGAATAATTTATGCTGAGCTAAATTATTGTCACCCATCATGAAGAAGAGCGTACAAAACCGTGGCTGGAATCTGGAGCTTTTGAAATAAAAATGTGAGGATGAGCTATACAAATGCTATGATTACTAGCATTGTACTATTGAAGCATAAACCACAGCTGGAAACCATAATGAACAAAGCATCATGCAACCATTTTCTCTTTGATGTTTAACATCATCCCACATATCTAGCAAAACATCTGTCCAAAACATCACTTGTGTGTTTATGTGGAGGAGAATAGTTCAGATCCAGAAAGAAAAGCTCCAAACCACGATTTTGTTTCTACCATCCAGTTGAATACTCTGTGCCTCTTTATTTTCAGCTGGTTGGTTGAAACAAAATCTTGGTCTGGATTTTTACTTACTGGACCTGAGCTATCCACCTCTGTGTTTATGATAATGTCTATCAGACTATATCAGGTTTTTAATCACAAAAGAATTCCTGAAAAATGTGTTTCTTGACCATTACTGATCACCATTTACACAAGGATTAAAGGCAAACTACATTTTCATTTTAGTTTTATTGTTTTGACATGTATTGTCAATCACCATAAGTAGTCATAATGAATGTATCTTTTCAATGTGTGTTTATTTGTCGTATAATTACCAGCTCACTAGTTTATTGGAGTGAAAAATTATACCTTTTTGCTCAAACTGGATTTAGCACAATTTTAAAATGATACCACCTGCTGCAATAATTTGGAGCCCTTCTAACCTTTGTACATTCTGTATATTAAATGCTAAGAACTGTGTGTTAGGATACTGATGATGGATTCCATCAAATTTATAATTACAATATGGTGAACATACCATATTTACACCACTATTTTTGTAAAGAAGCCCTACAGTGAAAAGCACTGGACTCTACGCCGAAGCACACAGTGTCTTCCTTAGCTACTCAACCTGCAACATGAGCGTTTGTACAAAATTAAATAGTCTGCCAGACAGAAATATGTGCGTTTCCTCTGATGTGTCTAACGTGGACCATTATTGCAGCTTCTTGCATTTTGCCAAAGGAAGATGAAGAAAAGTTAAAGCAGAAATAATTATATCGCACATTAACCAAAACAACTCAAGAGAAGAAGATAAAGGAGTTACAACTTGAGTGTGATCTCCAAAATCATGTAATATACATGTGAATTCACAGTGGGGGACGCAGACTTTACTGTGTGCCTGTAAGGTCCAGATATAACTCATTATAATAACCACATACTAAGACATTACTTTCCTGTGTATACAGAGTCTGCTCTATGGCTGAAATTGGAACCAACCCACAGTATGAAACTTCACAGTGAATACGGAACTCATTTTAGAATGTGACCAGAGTTGCAAGAGAATAACATATGTGCCAAATACCCAAGGAATGCTGGTCTATTTGACAAAATATCAGACCTAACATTTCCACTTTAATGCAGATTCAGTATAAAAAGTGTTTTGATTTGACCGTTAATTAAAAAAATAACAAAACTTGCCCAGAATATCCCGGAACAGTGACCTGCTATAGCGTCCCGCATAGGGTGCCACTGCCATGTGCTTTGCGCTGCTCGGAATAAACTCCAGACTTCCCATGATCCTGTAATGGAAAAGTGATTGGAAAATGGATGGATGGATGGATGGATAAAAAAATCAAAAGGTATGTGCATTATATTTTAAGTAATCAGAGGAATGCATCCTGTGGTTTGAACGTGTTATGGGTAGATTTGTTAAACGTTAAGATGCATAATGATCAATCAGTATGAGGATCGATATGAAATTTTAGTGGCATCCAGGAGAGCCTGGGAGAGGAAAAGAGCACTTAATTTCCAGTAAAGTAGTGATCCATCCATTTTACATAACAGGTTATCCAGTGCAAGGATGCAGGATGATTCTTTAAATTATACCGCATACTCACAGAACAGTGTTAATAAAAACTGAATAACAAGATACTACAAAAAGGGTTATGTCCCCCCCGCAGTGAGGCATTTTTGTAGTAATTCAGAGAACTAAACAAAGTGGTAATATGTCATGGTATAAGGTAATTGATACTTAGATCAAGTAGATTTTTGCTTGCAATCATAAAATTACCAGTCCATCTATCAGTTAATTTGTTAGTTAAATTTTTTAATGGGGGGGCACAGGGGGTTTTATGAAGCCCAGGGAACCGTGGCCTCTGTCACTACACACTGCCTCCACATTCTCTAGCTGGGTTTCCTAATATTATGTGTGCTGTGAACCATAGACAGATCCCCATTAAAGCTGGAAAAAGGACAGATGAGGCAGACGTGGCCAACAGAAAATTATTTCACAATGTACAAGCTGAATATTTTATCTGCCAACCATAGAGAAGACATATAGTTGTTGCTAATCCCTACAAATATCCCATACATATGCTAGCTGTAACCATGTTTGCCAAGATCATCAATATAAAGTACCTTTATTTAATAACACACAATAAATATTTCACAAACTTATCCATGATTTTTTTTTAAATTAGGTCATCAGTATGCCTTTTCAGTATGACCATGAATGCTGACCCCTTAATGTTGCACGGAAAAACACCCTTTTGATGAAACATGCAATGTTGAAATGTAGATTTCGATATCTTTACAACTTGAGGGCAATCCCACGGACAGCATGTGACTGCTCTGTGTGCAGTTGTTACGCCTCTGAAAAAAGGGGACAAATGATCACAAAAAATCAGATTGATGTTTCCTCGGTTATCAAACACATACACAATTCGCAAACAGAACATTCACAAAGCAAGTGGTTTGTAGTGGGATGCATATTTACAGTACAGGCATATGTAGAATTTCACTGAGGCTTAATTATATAAGAAAGAATTCACCAACAACTGTACATAATGCATTTACATTTTACAGAACATAGTGTAGCACTGGAGATACCATGGGGATTGCGGCATATTGGACTGCTGCCAACCTTGTGCATAGTTCTTATAATTACTAAGTATCATAATGTCTTGTGCTGTACCATAGTGTCACATGTAATGTTAAATTTTAATTGTGGTACATCGCACGTGTGTCTGTGTGTGCCCACTGTGCAGGTTAGGAATAAGCGGGCTAACGGGCACGGTGGGTAGTGTGGGTACTTTGTAGAGTGACTGACACGGGTGAAATAAACGCCACTTAGCAGTTGAATCCCATCGGCTCCTGTTGCTTATTACTCTTTCCACGCCATGGCCAGACGGTATGCTACATTGGGGTCAGAGCTGGGGATGATGATCGAGGAGCTCCGGAGGGAGCGAGAAGAGCCACAAGAAGAAGCCCACGCCAAAAGGGGCTCAGCCAGCCCAAGGGGACCTCTGGGATCTGAGCGCTTTGCCTTCCCAGAGCAACCTGATGGCGTTAGTGCCCCCCCCTCCCCACCTGCCCAAGCGACAGCACATGGCACAGAAATGTAGCCAGTTTCAATCAAATCCCCCTGAAGCTGCCCATTATGATGGAAAGGGACCCCTGGAGCCCTACTCTGACCCAGGTCCGGCTGGCGGTGCATCTCAGCAGCTCGTGCCATCAGGGACAAAGAGTGCCATCCCACTTCCCTGGTACAGCAGCACATTGACTGGGGGGCACCCCACCCGTCCAGCTGCAGTCGTGCAGACAACCCCAGGCAAAGCGAAGCAGAGGTTCCGAGAGATGGCAGAGGCAGGAGTATAGAGCCATCCGACAATCTAAGGGCGGCTCCAGCGGTCCTCGTCACCAAGGAGGATGGGTCATGGCGCTTCTGCATCGATTATCTACGACTCAATGTGGTGACAAGGAAGGACTCCTATCCACTGCCATGAATAGACAATGCACTGGACTACACCACAGGGTCAACAGGGTTCAGCTTCCTGGACATCCAGACTGGCTACTGGCAGGTCAAGCTGGCCCAGTAAGGTCACCCTAAGAATGCATTCACCATCGGCTACGGTCTATGGCACTTCTGGTCGATGCTGTTTGGCCTGTGCAACGCACCAGCGACTTTGGAAAGGCTCATGGAGCATGTCCTGGTCGACATCCCCCGGACCCAGGGCGTCATCTATCTCGACAATCTGCTTTTGCACACCGCTGACTTCAATGGGGTACTCCAAAACTTAAAAACTGTGCTCTCTGCAATCCGATGGGTAGGATTGTGACTGAACCCTCGGAAGTGCTCCCTCATACAGCGTGAAACACTTCCTGGGTCACGTTTTCAGCAGGGAAAGCGCGGCCACCAACCCAGAGGAGATGGTGGCAATGCGGAACTGGCCAACTCCACGTACAGTTGAAGTGCTTCGCAGCTTCTTGGGGCTAGCATTGTATTACCGGCGCTTTGTTAAGGACATTGTCAGCATTGCGAAACCACTCCACCATCTTACTGAGAAGGGAAGCAATTTCACGTGGACGGACACCTGTGCCACAGCGTTTACCCAGCTCCATGCATCGCTTACCGATGCTCCCATGCTAGCATAACCAGAACCGTGTCTTTGTTTTTGCTGGACACAGACGGTAGTGGCTCGGCACTGTGCTTTCGCAAGTGGGACCCAGAGGGGAGCGCATAGTTGCGTATTTCAGACGAACGCTAAGTAGGCAGGAGCGCAACTACTGTGTGATCCGACGAGAACTGCTAGCCGTGGTACAGGCATGTAAGCATTTCCGCCCCTACCTCTGCGGCGGGCAGTTTGGTTGCGGATGGACCACGTGTCCCTGACATGGCTCCTGAGTTTCCACAATCCAGAGGAATAGCTGGCCCGCTGGTTGGAAGTTCTGGCAGAGTTCAACTTCGAGGTCGAGAATCACTCTGGGAAGCTGCACGAGAATGTGGATGCCCTTTCCTGCAAACGCTGCATCACTACGAGTTGCCATCATTGCTGCTGGGTGGAGGACCAGAAGCAGCAAGCTAAGGTGGCAGTCACTGCCCGCAAAGCTCCAGGCACCCAAGCCCACCTGGACTTCGATTAGCAGCAGCTTATCGCAGAGCAGAGCAGCAACACCATGCATTTCAGGGTAAGCAAGAGGCTGGGCGAAGGCAGGTAACCGGGCTGAGAGGCGATCTCAACTTCTGGCCTGGAAACCAAGGCCTACCACTCCCAGTGGGACACTCTAGACAAACACAAGGGGC